CTGATCTGATAACTCTTGTAGAGTGGCCTGTAGCTCCTCTGCAGTGCTGTGGTGATTCTCTTCCATCTTCTGTATCTTTTCTGTAAGGGAAGCAAGGGACAGCTCACTTGCATTGTTTGGAGAATTCCCAGTGGTTGAAAACTTGGAGTTCTTAAAAGGGTTGCTGGTGGAGGACAGGGGCCGAGACGGGGTATCAGTGATGATATGCTCAAAATCTGAGGCATCTGGTGACAAAGAAGCTTTGGTAACATCACTGCTTGAAGAACCGGATGTCCGTAACGTATTTCCATATGTGTTTTTCTTATACTCATCAATTTCACTTCACAGTTCATTTCCGGTTGGGCTTCCAAAGCTTGACTCTAGAGTTACAGATGTTGGGCAGCTGCTATCACCAGTGTGACTTGCTGCCCCTTCTGAATTTGGTGACTGCTCAAGGTAAGTCAGTTTTTCCTTCAAGATCTGGTTATCTTCTTCTAGGTCAGCAAGCTCTTTCTGAAAGGTCTTTGTTCTTCTCTTCAAGGGTTCTTATCAAAGGTTCTGTGTTTCCTGGTGGAACTGATGTTCCATCTGAACTTTGATCTGAAGCATCAGTCCCCTCGGTGCTCAGGGCCATTCTTTCCTTGGATTTCTTTAGTTCGCTTCGAAGCCTGTTGATTTCATTATCTTTGGTTTTGGCTTCTGCTATAGGTTCCCGAACTTGGGATTCAAGCACAGCCTTCTCTCCCCCTTCGTTCTCTTGCTTTAGTTTTCCAGAAGTGGTCCTCAGGTGCTTAGTAGGGGTGTGAGTGCAGGAGGAAGTTGGACTGGACCCTGATTTCCTTGGGTTGGAGGGCCCTCGTGCCACAGACCTCTCTCTTGAGACAGTTACTGAGAGTTCCCGGGGAGTTGGGATGCCTGTCCGTTTGGTTGTTGGAACAGCCACTGGCTCAGGATCTTCCGGATGTCCCGAGTGGTTGCCCATGCTCGGCCCGACTCGGGTAGCAGCCAGCTGGTCGGCCTCCGACAAGGCGACCGCGGCACGCATCGGCACCGGCGGACAAGGCAGCTGCGTCCGCGGGTCCGCTCCAGTAAAAGAAAGGGCCGGATGCCTTCCGGTTCTCGGCTGCGGCCGGTAGAGTGCTCCTCGGGCCTGCAGGCGGGCCCCACCCCCTTATCTGCATGAGGCCCGCCCACCTCGCCTCCACGCTGCCCTCCTGGCGCGGCCCGCCCCCTCATCCGCATCCCCGGGGGTTTTAATTTGCATTTCTGTAATGACCAGAGATGTTGAATATTCTTTCCGTGTATTTATTGCCCACTAGTACTTCTTCTGAGAAGTGCCTATCCATTTCAATTGTGCATTTTTTATTGGATCTTTTATTTGGAGGGATCTGATTTTTTTAGTTCTTTATATATTCTAGATATTAGTCTTCTATCAAAGGAATAGTTGGGAAGTTATTTCCCATTATGTATGTCTCTTCATTCTGTTGGTTGTTTCCTTTGCTGTGCAGAAAGTTTGTTAATTTGGTATGATCCTATTTGTTGATTCCTGATGTTATTTCTTCTGCCATTAGGATTCTGTTCAGAAAGTTCTTGCCTATGCCTGTGTCTTCAAAACTTTTACCTATTTTATCGTCCAGCAGTTTAAGTGTTTCTGTTTTAACATTTAGATCTTGGATCCATTTTGATTTTATTTTAGTATTTGGTGGAAGGGTATGGGTCTAGATTCAATCTTCTGCATGTGTATTGCCAGTTTTTTCAGCACTGTTTCTTGAAGAGGCTGTCTTTCCTCCATCATAGGTTTTTTGGCCACTTTGTCAAAGATCAGATAGCCAGATGTACCTGGGTTGTTTCTGCATCCTTAATTCTGTTCCATTGATCCATGCTCTGTTTTTATGCCAGTATCATGCTGTTGTTATCACTGTAGCTTTGTAATGCAACTTAAAATCTGAGATTGTGATGTCTCCTGCCTTGCTCTTTTGCTTAGAATTGCTCTGCCTGCTCTAAATCTTCTGTGTTTCCATCTAAGATTGTTTTTTTAGTTCTGTGAATAATGTCAAAGGTATTTTGATGGGGATTGTATTGAATCTGTAAATTGTTCTTGGCAATATGACCATTTTGACAATATTAAATTACCAATTTATGAATATGGGATGTCTTTCCATTGTCTGGTGTCTTCTTCAATTTCTTTTTTTTTTGGTACCGGGGATCGAACTCGGGTCCTTGAGCTTGCGCAGCAGGCGGCGAAACCACTGAGCTACATCCCCGCCCCTCTTCTTCAATTTCTTTCTTCAATATTCTAAAATTTTGGTAGGCCAGGGATGTAGCTCAGTGGCACTGCACCTGTCTGACAACCAGAAGGTCCTGAGTTCAATCCCTGATACCAAAAAATGCATATTTTTTTTCTAAAATTTTCATTGTATTGGTCTTTTACCTCCTTGATTAGACTGTTCTCTAGATATTTTATTTTATTTTATTTTATTTTATTTGAGACTACTGTGAATGGAATAGTAGTTCATTATTAGTGTATAGTAAAGCTACTGAATTTTAATGTTGATTCAATATCCTGCTACATTGCTGAATTCATATATCAGCTCCATAAGTCTTTGTAGAATCTTTAGGGTCTTCTAAATATAGTATCCTATCATCTGTAAGCAAGGATAATTTGACCTCTTTCTTTCCCATTTGTATTTCTTTATTTTTCTCTTGCCTAATTTTCTCAAGCTAAATAAAATTGTAAGAAATGTGTCAAGAGTGGTAAGAGTAGACATCTTTGCCTTGCTCATTTTTTATAGTAATAATTTGTCTTCCCTTTCTTCCCTCTTTAGCTAGAGATTTATCCATTTTATCAAATATTTCAAGGAATAATTTATTTGTTTTACTGATTTTTCTCCTTTGTTTTATTCCTTTTTTTTTTGGTATCAGGGATCGAACTCAGGACCTTGTGCTTTTTCCTTTTCTATTGACTTATATTGTCCACCTTTTTGTTTCCTTTCTTTTACTTATTTCATATCTAATTGGGTCTATTAAGATAGAAGTTGAGGTTATTTATTTGAGAGTCTTCCTCTTTTCTAACAGAGGTATTTAATACTATAAATTTCTAAGTTCTGCGTTAGCAGCAGTCAACAAATTTTGATGTGATATGCTTTCATTTTCATTCATTTTCAAATACTTTCTCATTTCCCCTTTGATTTCTTATTCCTAGGGTTAAGTTTATGTTATATAGTTTCCACAGCATTGTGTATCTTCCAGAGAGTTTTCATGTTAAGACAGTACTTTCTAATTTAATTCTATCTTAAATAGAGAATTTGCTTTCTGTAGCAAATGCCACGGAGGGATGAGACCACCCGAGCAGACTAGTGAAAGCAAAGAGGTACAAACTTCATTCACCTGAGCAGAGTGGACTGATGGCAAACAAGAGGCCACCAGCCCTGAACAAAGAAAAGGCAGAAAGCTTTGTAGGGCATTGGAAGAGAGGTCTGGCACTTCTATTATGTATAGGGATCAGAGCAGATATTTGTGGTTGGGATCCATGCAGCGATGAAGGCAGATGTATGGATATTTTCAGGTGACTTGGCATTGAAAAGATGCTGTACTTTATAGTTGTTATCTTGATATTGGGAACATCCCATCCTGTGTTCTGTTCCAAGATAGCACAGTTTTTGTCAGACGGAGACAGCACCTGCTTTGGCTGCCTGTTTTGTTGTTTTTGTATCTTGTCAAACTAGCTTCGAATTAAAGCACATATACTTTAAGCATTTCACGACCAGGTCAACCCTGATGATACTTTTTATGACTTGAATCTTCTTAAATTTATTGAGACATTTTTATAGTTCAGTATATCGTCTATATTCCTTGTGCACTTGAAAAGAACATGTATTGTAGTGTAAGAATTTCTGTAAGTAAAGCATTGTGAACTTTTAAGTAGAGCCGTGATTTGTTTGTTTTCTTTTGTTTTTTTCTACTTAAGATCTTTAATCTTTCCAATGGTCATTGTTTAGAAAATAAAAATATAAAAAGCAAAATTTTCTTGTTTCTCAAGTACACTTTTTCAGTGGTCATCAATGGCAAAAAAGTCTAAAAATTTCTAACAGCTACAGGGGAAACAAATACAGTTTTTCCCAAAAATTTTTCTACTGCTTTAGCACAGAAATGATCAAGTTCAGTATGGAAAAGGAAAAAAAACAAGGAGAATGAAACATTTTTATAAAGACAATTTAAGCCAGATTACAGAGTTTATAACAGAAATAACTCAGTTTAATAATAAGGTCAAAGTGAAAAATCACATCTATGTCTGAATCTGCCAAGCTTTGATACCCTTTGAAGCTCAGACTGTTACCTTCTTTCTTTTATCTATGACTATTGACTAATTTTATAGAAATCACTTTATTAATATGATTTCAAACCTCCTTCTTCTTTAGCCTAGTTGTCCTGTAGAAAGCCCAGTGCCCAAGCTTGATTTTACCTGTCATAAATTTGCTAAACAGTGTTCCAAAAATAGCAACCAGAGCCCAAAGAAAGAGCAATTGAGGGAAGAAAAGAGAGGAAACATCAGTTTCTATAACTTCGAGGCTCTAAGAACCAAATATTAAAAGCATTATAATCTAATGCACCATTACTTTTCATAACATACGGAACTGATACTTACTGCTTGATATGTGACCAGTCCAAACTGAGTTGTGCTGTTAATGTAAAATACACACCAGATTTTGAGAACTTTATCTGAAAGGGGAGTGTGAAATATCAAATAGATGACTTTTATATTGATTTTAAGTTGAAATGATCATATTTTACATGCATTGGCTTAGATAAAATATTTTACTATAAAACTAATAATAGTTTTACCTGTTTCTTTTTACTATTTTTTAAATAGGGCTACAAGACAATTTTAAATTTCCCATATGGCTCATTCTACTGTATTTTAGTCAGACATTGTTATTCTAGAATTTCATGCTGGAAGTTCAGTCTAAGATAGTGGTCTTGCTTCACTTTATCTTCATTCATTTTCCTTTGACCTGATGACAAAAGATTGGGAGGAGGGTGGTTGCAGGGCAGGGCATTATTGTGGAGACCAAATAAAATTGCCAAGTCCCTTACAGAGATTTAGTAAAGTTGCTTCTTAGTTAATGAAACTCAACCTAAGCTAAAAATTTATGATCTATAATTCTACATCTACCTCACACTTCACACTTGAATGAAATTCACATAGCTTGGATCTCATTGCACTATTTCCCTGAAATGTCTTTGGGACCAGGAATTAGAGACATGCTTTAAAGGGTGAAAACAATACAAGCACTTTGCCTCCTTCATTCTCCTGAGTTCTTTCTCCTACAGTTCGCAGCACGATTTCCATATTGCATAAGGAACTTGGCTAGAAAATGATCATCTACAACCTGTCTTGCAGTCAAGAAAACATCCCTTTTATATAACCTTCCATTTTTTTTAAGGTTACTCAAATGACTTTTGACAGGTTCAAAATTACACAAATAAAGAGTGATCATTATGTCCCTGGGCACCAAATATTCTAGTCATTTTTTTAAAGTATCATCTCACCCCAAAGTTCATCACTGTATCACTGTATGGCCAAAACTTCTTCCACTGGATTTAAATTGCCTGGGCTCTTCACTGTGGGACTCAGCTCTGGTCTTAATTTGTTCTGTTGTTAATTAGTGAATGTTTCAAAACTAGTCTTATAATTTAAGAAATTACTTTTCTATCAATAATACACTGGAAAATTCTTTAGCCAAGGTTTTGACTACTGCAGTATTGCCATGGCCTTTTGACACATTTCTTTAGAGATGAAGTAATGTTATTTTAGGGACACTTTCCCAGTGTGGTCTGTCATGAGCACATATCAGGCCTAACGTTGTGTTCTATAAACTTGCAACTAGCTTCTGGACTCCACCATTGTAGCCAGAGTATTTGCAGAGGATATCTGCTTAGATCACCACAAAAAAGGCATTCCCTCTCTTAGTGATATTTTAATTGAGCCAGTTGAAATAAGAAATGGAATGTCAAAATGGTTTAGACAAATAAGAAATAAAGGTCATTAGAGATCAATCATTGAGTTCCAACTCTTCTGAAGGAAAAAAGGTCCACAGAAGTGAATTGATTTGCTCATGACGACAGCAGCAGATCATAACATTCTAGAGATAACAATATTATTCACATTAATGTTCAGTCTTGTGCTTTTTTCAGTATACTACAAAAGGTCTTTAAACAATAGTAGTGTTC